ATGGGGTTCAGATTCAAATCGTAGAACGCAGGTCTTCGCCTGTTGGTTGTCCTGGTACCGGCGAGTTCCATCCGTGTGCTACTTCTTCCGACTCTCCACAAAGGGAGTAATATCTAACAGTTGGAATGAACAAGGTGTAATATACATGACGTGTAGTGTATCAGTAAAATAAAATGTACCTTGATCGCTGGGGTAGATCCGGGAATGAGAGATACAATGCCTTATCCAGCTCCAAGTTGAAGCCCTCCATTGTGGGACATTCAACTATTTGAGGTGCTAGCTTGTTCCAGACAGGTACTACTCTGCAAAGAAGTGCACCATATTGCTGGCCTGCTCCTGGTTCTCTCAAGAGTATGCCCGCAGAGTGAACAAATACCCACTGGGTGTCTTTTTGCACTTCATTCAGGTCTATTCTCATCCTACGGCGTTCAAGAGAAAACAGTTTCAGGGAGTTTAGTATCTCCCAGCAGATGGGTCCTTTTTGAACTCAAACCATCCGGGTTGCGAGTTGCTGAACATTTAGGACTTTGATATCCTTCGGAAGATACGGTGCTCAGACCTGAGAACAGGATCTGCCTTTGATGAACCCGTGCTGGGTGTTGCAAAAGAACTCGATTTGATGAAGGTGCGCACACATGGATTCGCGGAATTTGCTCCAGGAGATTAGTATCATTGAGACGATAGTTGGACGGATCCGATTGGTTATACCTTCAAAAGTTGGGACAATTTTGGGTAGTATTCAATCGTCCAGAACCCAGCTTGTGTTTAGGGAATGGTTGAACATTATGACTAATTGGGGGATCACTAAAGATTCTACCGCTTTTAAGACGGCTGGATGGATATCATCTGGCCCCGTAGATCTAGAGGTCTTAAGCATTCTAAAGGCTCTTTCTACTTCCTGCAGAGATCACCAGATATGGCATGTCGCTTACTGGACCGAGAGGAAGATAGTTGCTCATGCTATCCAGGTGAAAAACCTCTTGGGTACGAGTTCGGACTGTGGACTGGTCAAATGACATTTCACTGCTTCATGCATTGAAGCGATATTATGCTGGATAATCGTGGTTCCCAATCGATTTTGCGGAATGTCAGCAAGATGAAGCTCGTTTGCGTTGTTGATCTAAGGTTCAGCTTTCCGTTTTCCTTCGAAAATCACCAAATAAACTTTCCACCCGTCAAATTAGTACGCGCAGCACGCATTTCATTGTAATAGTCGCTTGAGATTGGGCGCCTTGATCCGATTTGTAGTGGCACGTACGACCTGCCGCCTACAATAATCAGGGATCTTTCGTCAAATTCCGCCTTTATTCTGCGAGGTGTACTCACGTGGGTCAGTCGGAAGGTTAAGAACAAATGGCAGCGACCGATCAATTTGTCCAGCTTTGTGATTACTGTTTTCCATGTTTTTGTAGATCAGTTTTTTCCTTGTTCAGCTCGTTTTGTTTCTCCAAGTGGTGCAATCGGTAAATGGTTTCAATCAGGATACATGACGTGATTTTTGCCGTTCAACTATCGTGTGCATCGTTCAGGTTTGTCTAACGGGACATCAATTAACACCTGAGGCATGGCTGACTCACAAATTGCGCAACGAGCTAAGAAGTGCGCTTTGTGATAGCACTGAATGTAGTCAATAATATTTTACACCTTTATGGTTACATTTCTGGTTTGAATCAGTCCAACAAAATCCGTTTGGTTTCTCAATATGGTAATGAGTTTTATCATTATCGTCATACTAATTCGATCACTGCAGATTCTTTGGTTAGCTAGAAATTTCGGAACATAAGGGTAGGGTTAATAACAATTCTCGCACTATGCTCATAATTGTTTATTCTACTTTCTTATCTCCTACCTAACCATCATTTCCCTCTTCCTTATGGGTTGCCGCGTTTATTGAGCAAAGTTGTTTAAAATGAAACGCGTTACGATTTGCTTGGTGCATATACTAGATTTGAAGATGTTGGCGTCTATACTGCATAATCTTGGGCTCATCAAGTCGTTCATGATTTTTGGAATGTTCTCGAAAAATTGTCTCTAATTTTTGTTTTGCATGATAATCTATTCTTTCCAGATTCTCGAAGATACTCCTGCGGCTCGTCGAGAGGCCGAACTACATTGGCGCGCTTCAGATTGCCCCAATGTAGTAAAGGTTGTTGATGTGTATGAAAACAATAACCAAAATACTGGGAAAAAATACATTTTAATGGTACTGGAATGCATGCAAGGGGGCGAGCTTTTTAATCGCATCAAGTCCAAAACCTCATTTACGGAATGTGGTAAGTGTCTCGTTTTGTAGCCAGTTTGATAAAGCCTTAAACTGTTTCCAGAAGCCGCTCGCCTTGTTCATCAAATAGCATCAGCAATTGCGTATTTACACGCCAGAAACATTGCTCATCGTGACTTGAAGGTATACCTTTTCGTAACTGTTTTTTGATAAATTAACGAATGCTTTCTCTTAGCCTGAGAACCTTCTGTTCGCATCTGATAACGATGATGCTCCACTAAAGCTGACTGATTTTGGGTTTGCACGCGAAGTTGTTTGTGAGAATTCTCTCAAAACACCATGCTATACGCCGTATTACGTCGGTACGTTTTTGATAACTGAAGAAAATACATACCTCAACAGCTCCAGAGATTCTCAATCGTGAGCGATATGATAAGTCCTGTGACCTCTGGTCCCTGGGTATCATTACGTACATTTTGTAAGTTTTCATTTTGTGTTGTTTTATCAAATACAAACGTAGACTTTCGGGTTTCCCCCCGTTTTTCAGTCGCAACGGGCAGCCGATTTCCCCTCAGATGGAAACAAATATCATTTACGGCAACTACGACTTCCCCGATTCACATTGGCGGCATATTTCCAATGGAGGTGAGTACAAGAAATCTAATTCTGTTGTGCAGTTTACTTTGAATATTCTGTATTTACAGTACTGAAAACCCATGTCATTCCATAGCCATACGTGTGTAGCCATGTGTGTGTAGTCATAAGTGTGAAAATCGTAATGTTCATTTTAGGTGCAATGAATGTGGGTCTGCTTCACGGACGACTGCAATTCACTTAGGATGTAGTTTGAGATCGCCATAACGACCAATACCACTCATGTTAAGTAAGCCTCATTTTTTCCAACGTTTCAAGTGCTAAAACTTTGACTGCTGGTTCGCCTACTCGAACAATAGATATGCTTCTTCATTCAAAATGAGGAGGAGGGGGATTCAATTGACAATACCTCATTCTGTCTCACCGCCAAACCTGCGATCCGCCAGAAAGGGATGACAGGCCACCCGATGTATTACCTACCCAGAACGATAACTTTGGTCACCCACGGCATTTAGAAGACAATTCTACCCATGAGGAATGACGCATCACTGCAGGAATTTGCTACATTAATTTTCAATGAACATTTCAGCAAGATCATACAGTGTTTTCTTTAGAAATAGAGAGATGATGGAGTAAACTCTTAGTCGTGTAAAAGGCCTTTTTCTTTGAATATTTGTTATCAAATTCATGCCTTTGGGTACCTTCATCGCCACCCAGCACTACTCACCTCTGACTTATCCATCACAGCTTTCATGACAAGCTATTTTTTAAGACCACGAAGGGCCCTGATTTTACTTATCAGCAGATGATTTCATTGTACCGTTTCCCGGCTGAGTCCCTTAAACGCCAAATCATCAAGAGTTTGAAGAGTGAGCGCGAGAATTGGTAAGTAGAGAAGTGTAGAGAGATGGAGAAGGCTGTGGCTATCGGCAAAAGTCGCAATCTTCTCGTTTGATTGGGAATATGGGCCCCAGGAAAGTAGGCGTGAGTGAGGTAATTAAGGAATCCAATGGCACTCTGATTCAAGATCAGCAACGCCGTCTTGATCGATGGGCTGAACACTTCAAGGCTCAGTTCAACTGGCCACCCATCGACATCTGATCTTTCACCCTCCATCTTGACTGGGCAAATACTGCCAGTTAATGCTAGTCCTCCATCTCAAATAGAGGTTACCCGATAAATAAGTTATCTCAAAACGCATAAGGCTTCGGCCCAGATGGGCTGTCCCCATCGGTTTTTAAGGATGGAGGTTCAGCCTTGGTTTTGGAGTTAACAAAACTCCTGGGTTCAGTGGGGGAGAGGGAAGAGGTTCCAGCTGAATGGTGTGAATCGGTCATCATACCGATTTACAAGAAAGGTGACAGATCCTCTTGTGAAAACTACAAAGGAGTTTAATCAACATTGCCTCTAAACTTCTCGCCGGTATCATACTCCGTCGATCGTCCGCCACCCCCGAAGAGTGCACGCGTGAGAATCAGGCTGGTTTTATGCCTGGTCGAGGTTGTATCGACCACATCTTCACTCTGCGCCAAATTCTGGAGCATCGACATTCCTTTCGTAGACCCACCATCTCTGTTTTTCTCTATTTGAAAGCGGCTTTCGACTCAATCGACCGCTCTAAACGGACGCTGCCTCTCTCTAAAGGGTGTGTCCAAGAAGTTTATTTCAATATTACAATCCCTTTATACTAATGTTGTAAAATACTACTCATTTGTGAGTAGTACGCAAAAAGATGCGATCAGCGGTTCATTTCAACGATCCAAAATGAACAAGACCTGTTGGAGCAAACTGTTACTGTTTGGTACGGTGAACACCAGAATGCGCATCCGATAGTGGACCGTTCCATTACCTATCCTGTGTGTTTGCCGGAATTCTGCAAACTTGTTCCAAATGATATTTTGT